GTGGCGGGATGAATTTCATCCACAACCACAGCCGATCTAGCTGATGGGTGCCAAAGATCATCTGCTTCGAGTTGACCATTGGCCCTCTTAGTCCATTGACTCTTCACATGCTTGGCGTGTTTCACAGTCAAGTGCTTCGAACGCAGCGGCCGACCATGCAAGTGCACCATCTGCACACAACAAAGAACCTGCTCGAACATTCCGAAGCAAGCCTGAGGTCACTATCTCAGCACATAAAAAAGTCTTTTACTTTTACACCGAGAATCGGGTCCTCCCGCGAACCAGCGGCCCGAGATGGTGTCTGCGGCGCGCTCTTGTCTGACATCCGGCTGCCAAACTCAAAAAAACAACGCCCGACAAACACGCGACTCGACGAAACCACGAACCGACGAAAACACGAAACAACCCAAACACGAACCGACGTCATTTGCCCCCCCCCCCACCCCCCCAACCCCCCCTGAATGACTGTTGGAACCCTGTCTGCTTCAAAAACGTGCAAATTCACGGGGGCCCGTATGGACGTGACACCAAAAACAACAGACCTTGGTCCTACAAGGTTTTGTCTAACAAATCCTCCCAGGGCCAGATCGCAGACCGAAACGCACTACCATGGGTTGTCCAAATGTTGCTTCTGGGCGAGATGCAATGGGGCGGCAACAGGTCCGCAGGTGGTGTATTGTCCTTGATTGACCCCAGGTGATTCTCGTCTCAACTGTAACAAAGCGTCCCGAGAGCCCAGCCAAGAGCAATGCCACCTTAGAGCTGCTTTGACAAATAACAAGTATATATTTATACTGTATCGTCCAAGAGGTTGGACGGGTCACGGGTCATGGCTTCTAGTGCACCTGGCTCCTAGTAGCGATGCCAGGAGCCCCTAGTAGCGTCCTTGCTCCTAGTAGCCATGCCTGGGCCATGCCAGGAGCCCCTAGTAGCGTCCTTCCTCCTAGTAGCGATGCCAGGAGCCCCTACTACCGTCCTTGCTCCTAGTAGCGATGCCAGGAGCCCCTAGTAGCGTCCTTGCTCCCCAGGAGCCCCTAGTAGCGTCCTTGCTCCTAGTAGCGATGCCAGGAGCCCCTTGCTCCTAGTACCGGTGCCGGCAGCCCCTAGTAGCGTCCTTGCTCCTAGTAGCGATGCCATAGCGTCCTTGCTGCTAGTAGCGATGCCAGGAGCCCCTAGTAGCGTCCTGGCTCCTAGCAGCGATGCCAGGAGCCCCTAGTAGCGTCCTTGCTCCTAGTAGCGATGCCACGAGCCCCTACTAGCGTCCTTGCTCCTAGCAGCGATGCCAGGAGCCCCTAGTAGCGTCCTTGCTCCTAGTAGCGATGCCAGGAGCCCCTAGTAGCG